ATTACACTTCCCAGACATGAGGCTTAAGTCCATATAAAATGTTATGTAGACAACTATTTCTCATCGATGATTTTGTTACTAAGCAGAAAGTGCTGCTCAGATGTAAGACTTCAAATCTTGGTCTCCAATACTGCAGTGCCCACCTGTAGCTTAGGGAGACAACCAGCTATTGTTCTAAAATGATGGCCAAATTTATAAATACTTTTAATTTGTCCACTGTATCTTTCAAATCACAAAAATAAGTCAAAACAAATGAGAAATTACAGACTGTCCATACCAGATGATTTTTGGGCCAGTCCTGTCTGACCATCTGATGATATGCTGGTTTTGGCAGTTTAGTAATGCAAGGTAACTAGAACTTCACTTTACTGCCCAAAGAGCCAATCTATAGTTATAGTGACATCTATGGATCCCTCCAAAAAATGTACTGTAACTCTGCTTCTAGATCTTTTCAAATGCCAACTGAGAAAGTTCCTTGAGAAACTGATTCCTTTTCTTTAATAATTGTAAGAACAGAATAATAGTAAGTCAACCAGCAGCCCAGGCGCAAAATACTCCTTTCTCCCACTTAAATATATAATACAGTTATAGAAGTGTTTTTTCTAAAGGATAAAGGAAGAACTGAAGCAAGGAAATTAATGACTGAAAAAATAAAGACATTTCTCAAAATCTGGCTATGACAGTCTTTTGCAATCAAAAACTGAAAGCTGTAAGTAGTGGAATCTCATTCTTGGTGATCAAAGTAATACAGACAGCAACGGGCCATGGGGAAAATTAAGATATGAAAATAAATACTGCTAATGCTATCTACAGGATAAAATTTCCTAGAAATGTTACAACAGGAAATAATCAACTATCAAAGTAAAATCCAGAACCACTGTGGTGGCTTGAATGAGAATGTTCCCCATGGACTCCAAATACTCTGTCCCTAGTTGGTGGAATGGTTTGGGGAGATTTAGGAGGTATGGCTTGCTGGAGGAAGCACATCACTGGGGGTGGGCTTAAGCCTTGCCCCAATGCCAGTTCGCTCTGTTCTTTTGTGTCCACTTGAAGATGTGATCACCTAGCTTTCTGTTCTAACTGCCTTTGCCATGCCTCCCCATCATGATGGACTCTTATCCCACTGAAACCATAAGCCAGATCAATAAATTCTTCCCTTTATAAGTTGCCTTGGTCATTGTATTTTATCACAGCAACAGAAAAGTAACTAATACAACCACATATCAAAACCTTTCCTGCACATTATTTTAGGATCACTGTGGGCCATGTTGGGAAGATCTACTCCTTAGAACAACCCTTTAGGTACAAGGTTTATTAGAATGAAAGGGACTCAAGTCCATGACCAGGCCTACAAGTAGGAGGCAGAGCATGAGACAGAAACAGTGTGATATATGTAAAGAATCTAAACATAATGGGCCCTTAAAGGGAAGGAAATTAAAGCCTGGAGAGGAGCCTCACTTAAGAGTAAGAATGAGAGAGAGATACAAAGAGAAATGGAATACACATAGTGGGTGGTTTTTGAGACTGTCTTCTCTGACCATCTGGGTATACATTGGTTTGGGCAGCTCTAGTAATGCAAGGTAAGTGGAACTTCACTTACCATCTGTCTAATCTATAGTTACAATGACGTCTATGGATCCCTTCCAGAAAATGTACTCTGTCATGAGAGGGATATGAGGGGTGGGGGCAGAGGAGCCTCTTCAGAAAGCATCCTTTGGAGCAGTCTTCCGAGCAGCTCCTGAGGAGCCTCGAACCAATTCTCATACACAGCTTTAAAAGATATTTTCATTCACATTGCTAGCCCATTGATATAAGCCATCTTTCTCTTCCTTTAAATTAAGTATTTTCTTCTTGCTTAAACATTATTCATTGCAGCATAAATGAGTAACCCGAGTATCGTGATTTTAAGGAACATAAAAACCAGTCATTTTTCTATCTACTCAAGTCAATACAGTCATACAAAATTATAGATATTCATAAATGAACCACTATTGACTATCTACAAAGAGATTTATCTGCAATTCAGAAAAAGTACTGTATCTATATTGTAAATGATTGGCTTATACAACACATATAATGTAAAATTGTATAATAATCAATTTGGATGCTTGGAAAATACAGCCAGAGATTTCTGATCAAAGAGTATAGCAATAAAGCTAGGACTCACCAGTAAACACATTATATAGAAAATTCTCTTTGAGACAAAATTCCAGTTGTTTTTCCAGTAACCAAGGTGACTATCATTACTTAACTTACCTTGATAGGTGATCCATAATTATCACTATCAGGAATTTATAAAACCTGTATTTTCCACATAACATCAATTTAATTAAACTATTCCTTTTAGTATACAAAAAAATTTACATAGCAGTTGACAAGATACTACAGCACACCGTCATTATCAGTCAATAATTTCCTCCAACCCACCAGCCTCAGAGGCAAAGGCAGACAGATCTCTGTGAGCTCAAAGTCAACCTGGTCTACATAATGAGTTCCAGGCTAGCTGGGGCTACAAGAAGACCCTGCCTCAAAAAGTCAAAGAAAAAAGAAAAGAAAAAGTATAACCAACTGTAATCTCATCCATTAAGACTGTGTCTATACGTGACATCTAATGGAAAACAATTTTAACATCTTCCTTCCTAAAACGAGATTAACTTAATTTAAACCTTTCTACAGGGTTCCCACATAAGATTCAGCTCTATTTTTAACTCTGTGTTTGTGTGTGCATGTGTGTGTATCTGTGTCTATGTCTGTACTTATGTGTGGATATGCAAAAATGAGTGGTAGGTGCCCACAGAGTCCAGAGGTGTCGGACCCCATAGATCTGACTTACAGACCAGTGTGAGCCACCTGATACGAGTGCTGGAAATCAAACTTAGTTCCTCTACAAGAGCAGTGCATGCTTTTAATCACTGAATTATCTCTCTAGTCCCCAATATATCACCCCATATATGGTCTTATGTGCACAAAAGCAGAAAACCTACTACCGCACAGCTTGATTTAATGTGTCTTTATTGACCACCCACACAGTGGTTATAAGGAAAACTAAGGCTTCCGGAAGTAACATGTTCAGTCAATACATAAATAGTAAAACAATCAGATAAATGGATGATTAAGATCATCTTGGACAGAAATCTTGGACTGAGAAAATGTGTATAACTAGAAAGATGTTATTAGTATATTGCCACAAATTAGGGGCCTTCAAAAAGGTAGTATGGCAGCAGCATAAAATTCAAGGCAGGAGATGGAAAGAGATGTACTCTGTTAGGCATCCCTAGACTCGTGACTAGAATGCACCAAAGGGATAGGCAAGTTAAAAAAAACAAAAGCCTACCTAGTCACTCTACCCTCAACAATGAGTATGCAATAATCACAGTACTGCCCTAACTTTCAAATGAATCATCTTTCATCTCCAATTAACAAGAAAAATTATAACAAATGACAGCATAGCATCCTAATTTCTTTTTACCAAAGATTGTACTGAGTCAGAAATTAGAGTTCAACAATAAACTTGAGTCAACAAAAACTAGTTTACTTTTAATTTCTTCATACCAAGAATCAGATATTATAACATTTTGTTTTGGTTGGAACAATTTGTGTTCATTTAGTTCTTGGTCAAATCTTGAAATGGATTAACTTAAAACTACATAAACAACTCTGAGAACAGGCAACCTAGATTTTATTTAAGCTCTAATTTATTGTTCATTTAAAGGGAACCAAGTGAGAGTCTAAATTTGGAACTACTATACAATAATAATACTTAACATGTACAAAGTTCTCTCTACATTTTTGGGACCCCTACAGTTATTGTTTCATTCCATAAATGAGTTTATTATAGAGGTGTCAGTTCTTCCACATAATAAACATGAGTCAAAATTCATGGCAGCTTTTCCTACTGAAAAGACAAATCATTTACAGTCAAGCTATGTAAAGTATATGAAAATATCCTGTGTCTATTCCATAGTTCTGAGTTTGTCTAGAAAAAGCAACATCAAGGTTTGCTTCATATAGGCCTCAACATGGTTCTTCTGTTAATCCAACCCAAATATAGACTTGTGAAAATCATAACTTTAGAGCAGCACTGGTAATACAGTGTTAAATGAAATAGTAAAGGCCTCTAAGCTCCTGAACTGGGTCTAGGAAACCAAAATAGTACAGAGTTAACCACAGTACTGAGCTTTGAAATGTTGTAGGAGCCCCTGTAACCAACTGACTAAGCTATCATTCATGACTGACTAACAGTAGCTAATTAAGTTGCTTTCTATCCGTCACATCTATTTTCATACAAATGTTGACTGATCATGGTGCTCAGTAGAGTTCTCAGAATCAGCTCTGGTTCTGAGTGGTGCCAGATTCACAAATCATTTCTGTTTTGCTCTGTTTTACTTTACTCAAATAAACTCTAGTTGATATAATTAGCCTAAATTTTTTCTTTTTAATAATAGTGACAGAAGTCCTATGGTGAACTCTGCTTTAATATCTGAAATGTCATCTTCCCCAGTGTAGGAGGACAAAACCTGATACAGGGACAGAAAAAATGTATTAGGAAAGAAATCTCAGTCAGTGTTGATAAAGGCATAGGTTAAGCATTTTATCATACTGGAAAAGTTAAGGTATAAAACTGAAGGTTGAAGTTGAGTTTCCATTCCTGTATTAAGCAAGTAGGATTCTACTATTAAATTACAGTTCAACAAACACCTGAAATTCTTAGAACAAATAGTAGTGATTTATATTCTGGTTATTTCTTTTCAATTTTACTTAAAACTATGCCTCATAAAAGTGACTGTACCTTCCTTTGTGCCATGGCCACCAAAGCCTTATTTGTAACAATGAGACTTAAGTAAAATGTCTACCTTCAACATTTTTTCATTTAATTTCTTTGGCCTAGCCTCATTCTTTTTTAATCTGAACAATTTTGTACATTGTCTTAAATCTGTCCTGAAAGGGAGGGAATTTATAGGTAATTAAACAATTTAACAATGTCTAAAAGAAAACAGTACCTTTATATCAAAATTACAATCTAGTCTTCTAATCAACACGATGAAAGTGCCAGATGAATTGTCTTTTAGTGGTGGAGGCACTATGGGTTCACAAGCATTCTCTGGTTTTGAGTTAATCAGAAAACCCTGAAAAAGAATGGGTAACAAGTTATTTGTCTCACCCAGTGCAACACCTAACCTGCACAGACGTCTTTAGCTTCCTGTGCTTTGTGTTATGCTTCAACTGTTCACAGTCCCAGAACTCACAGTAAGGAGTATCTGGGTTCATAAGCACTTGGTGTTTTTTTTTTTTTAAGTAAGTTCAATCTTTCATAATTGTTACATTTTTAGGAACACACACAAGACAGTTACACAAAGACAGCCATGTTGGCACTATCTCCCAACAATGACATTTCCAAACCAAGAAAATTCTTTTTCAGTTAACTTTTAATTTTCACATTATCAAACAAGGAAAATGTACACATTATATTATATCAATATTGATATCTATGTCAATATTATCCTGGTATATAAAGGCATATGTACAAAGATGTTTATTTCTATGTTGTTTTTAATAGTAAAAAACAGAAATCAAGCACACAAACTTTTTTTTCTCCCTATAGCCCAAGTTGACCTGGGACTCCCTACATAGACCAGGCTGGCCTCAATCCAGAGATCTGCCTGCCTATGCCTCCCAAGTGCTGGGATTAAGGGCACCCGCCAACACACCCAGCTCGAAGTAAACATTTTTCAACATTTTATATATACAATAAAAAAAATGCAACTATTTTTAAATGAAGGTATAAGATTGGAATTTTTTTCAGCTGTAAAGTGAAATCATGACATTTTCAGGAAAGCAGATGGAATTAAATATCATTATATTATGTAAAATAAGCCAGATTCAGAAAGAGAAATGCTGCATCCTTTCTTTTACATGTAGAATTCATGACATTTTCAGGAAAGCAGATGGAATTAAATATCATTATATTATGTAAAATAAGCCAGACACAGAAAGAGAAATGCTGCATCCTTTCTTTTACATGTAGAATCTAGATATGTGTGTGTGTGTGTGTGTGTGTGTGTGTGTGTGTGTGTGTGTTGAAAACAGGAAAGGGACCGTGAGGGGAAGGAAGAGATCTAATGGGAAGGAGATGAAAGGAAAAAAGGGTAATGGCATGACAGAGAAGGGGGCTGCCTGGCACAGGAAGGGGCCAGGCAAGGGAAGCAGCAGGGATGGGAGGGAGCGGGACCAACAAGAAGAGGGCATATATGGGGGAAATACCAATGAAATCCACCACTTTATACATGAACTCTAAAAAATAATTTTAAAAAAGAAATAGCCGGGCGTGGTGGTGCACACCTTATCCCAGCACTGGGGAGGCAGAGGCTGGCAGATCTGTGAGTTTGAGGCCAGCCTGGTCTACATAGGGAATTCCGGGCCAGCCAGGACTGTACAGTGAGACTTATTTATGTCTCAAAATAAATAAAAAATACATACATACATAAATAAGAAAGTCATTAGGAAGATAATTATGAACTTAAAAAGGAAACAGCAAATTGCTTTTACAGAAATGTGGGATAATCTGATATCAGAAAAATGTATCAATTTAAAAAGCTATATTAATAGACTAAAATACAAAAAATCAAATGATTAAAGTAATAAACAACTAAAGGATCAAAATAATTTTTAAAAAGAGATAAAGCAAGCTATGGCTAATGCCTTAATAGTTCTCCATGGTGTTGGAATTGGCCACATCAACCAATTCTCAGAATTCAGCAATTTCTTCTGTCTTAGGTTGCACAGTGTGGTCTGTGATAGAAAAAGTGCCCCCACCTGTTTCAAGAATAAAGTGCTTTAGTCCTTCATCTGCCCACAGAAGAGCTACTCCTTGACTCCATGAAGTTCCTGGCTTTGCTTGTCAGGGAAACAGAACCATGATCATGTCTCAAGGATGGCTGTGCGCTTCATTCTTGTATTTATACCTGAATTCTGAGGCTTTTCTGTGCCTTGCTGCACATGCTTTATTTTAATGCTAAATCGAGGTGCAGTGAATCTTTTTCTACTAACTTATAACAACAATTAAACTCAACACTTAAAGTAAGAATGCTGCAACTCAACTAAAGACAGTCTGAAAGTTCTGTCACAACCCTGCAATGCTAGCTACTCAGGAGGCTGTAGATACTAAGAGAAAGGACCAAGGAATGGAATTAGAAAAGGATTTTTGCTTTTAAATCATTTAAATATTGTTGAATACAATGTGTATTATTTTTAAACCTAAGAAAATGTATATAGCACAAAAACAAACACTAAAAGTCTTAATCTTTTTTGCTTTAAGTTGACTGACATGTCTTGTTATTAAATACTATCTTTCCTATAGATTATACTAAAAAGAATAACTACCTAAAATAGCTTACTGATTACTAGCCTCAAATACGAGTCATTTAAAATTAAGTGCACATTTAGCTTATTTCAACCACAAAGCCTACCAGAAAGAATAATGAATTTTGTTGATTTGCTAGGACTCTCTGGCCCCTAAAATAAGAGTGGCCAAGAAGGTGCAGCCAGATTTTAGTATCCTCTCTAGGCTCAGTCTCTTCTCATTACAAGAATGCTTGTACAATAAGGACCTTCTTCACACCTAGCTTCTCACAGGAGTACTTTATAATGCTACTTAATATGCAGAAAGCCTAAGAAACCTAACAAGACCCAGGAAACTAAATGCCCTCCTTCTCTGTTATTTTAATCTTCTGAAAATTAAATGAGGATGCTGGAAAATAATAGTGCATGTAAACTTGCGTTTCAAATCTATTAGATATATAAATTAAGTGCAACATACAAGAGTTACTTTTTTATAAAGTTTTTAAGATTATGAGATACACAAACAAGATGCATAAAAGACGTTTACAGCTTGGTAAGTTGTCCCAACTGAATAGGCAGATCTCTGTGAGTTCAAAGCCAGCCTGGTCTACATAGCAAGTAGGACAGCACAGTCAGAGCTACACAGTAAAACCCTGTCTCAAAAGAAAAAAAAAGGCACCAGAAACATTGGCACTGCAGAAGTTTCCTAAGTCCTCCCCACTGGTCAGTGCTTCCCACTGGGAGGGACAACAAGCCAACAATTTACACTTGTTTTGACTAATTTTATGTTTGACATAAAGAGAAACATAGAGTGTAGTGAAAGCTTTTGTAGACTGCTTTCTCCCCAACTGTGCTTCTGAGATTCACCCCAACTGTTACATTCTAGTCAAGTTTCTGTGACCACAAGTATACATACATGTATGTATTAAATATAGTTACAGAAGTAGAATCACTCGCTCTGAAAAGTTAGATCGTGGATATCATACATTACTAAATACTGCCAAAACACTTTCCAAAGTAGTCTGGGTTACCAGACTTTTTTTTTGGTATTGTCTCCCTGCAGCCCCAGCTGACCTAACACTTGCTACGTAGACCAGGCTGGCCTCGAACTCACAGAGATCTACCTGCCTCTGCCTTCTAAGTGCTGGGATTAAAGGCATGCACCACCATGCCCAGTGGGTTACCAAATTTTTTAAAGATTTATTTTATTATTTATGTGTATGGGGGGCAGTGCCAAAACACACCAAAAGAGAGAGTTAGATCCCCTAGAGCTGGAGATACAGGCAGTTGTAAACAGTCTCATGTGGGTACTAGTAATTGAACTCAGGTCCTCTAGAACAACAGCAAGTATTCTTATCCAATGAACCGTCTCTCCAGCCCTGAATTACCAATTTTTAACTGGAATTGTCAAATAACATAAACATAAAAAGTCATAATAAGCCAGGCACTGTGGCCTGTAATCAATCCCAGCACTTGGGAGGCTGAGGCAGGAGGATCATTCTGAGTCTGAGGTCAGTCTGGTGTACATAGAAAGTATGAGGCCAGTTATGGCTAGATAATGGAACCCTTTCTCCAAAAAGGATAGGGAGAGAGAGACAAAGAGTGGGAGGAAGACTGATCATGCTGGGCATGGTGGAACACACCTACAATCCCAGCACTTGGGAAGTGGAAGCAGAAAGACCAGGAGTTCAGGGCCATGCCTGCACACATTCTATGGTACGTATGTGGAGGTCAGAGGAAAATTTCAGGAGTCAGTTCTCTCCATACACTAGGCATAGAGGTACTTTACCTGCTAAGCCACCTCTCCGGCATGTTTCTATTTTTTTTCTTATAAGAGTAATAATGTGTAGGTGGACAAAGAAGGGGAAAAGTAATTTGTTGTGTTAGCAAACACCTGAAATTATGAATTAACATTTGCAGTAATAGCATGTAGTTAATAATCTCTCACTTGAGTCATGGCACTCAGCAGTGTGTTGAGCACTATGCCCCTTCAATGTACTAATTCAGTTAATCTTTTCAACAGCTAATTGATAACCACTACCACGATACTCTCCATTTCACACATGAAGAAACTAAGCTTCAAAAAGGTTAGACAACTTTGTGCAAGGCATGCAGTACCATCAAGTCTGACTCTAGAGCCTATGCCCTTGACCACTATGCTGTACCGCCTCAAGGGGAAAAAAAATGAAGAGGAGGAAGGACAGAACAGAGGGAAATGAAGTACGGGGGGCTGGAATATGCTCAAAGTACACTGTACATGTGTATGAAAAATCCTAATGAAACCCAGGACTATGCACAATGAATACATGCCAATTAAAACATATTAATAGCCAGGCATGGTGGCGCACGCCTTTAATCCCAGCACTCGGGAGGCAGAGGCAGGCGGATCCCTGTGAGTTCCAGGCCAGCCTGGTCTACATAGTGAGTTCCAGGCCAGCTGGGGCTACAGGGAGACCCTGTCTTAAAAAGACAAAAAAAAAAAAAAAAAAGAAAAAAAAAAAAAAAAAAAAAAAAAAAGTAAAAGAAAACAATTTTAGATCCTTTGTGCTTTACCATCTTAGTACTTTCTTACCTTTAAACCTTCAGTTGGCAGTCTATAACCAAATCTGGCTGGAAGATCCTCAAATGTCTGAGATACATTTTCAAAATTAAACTAAATAAAAAATTAAGTCAAAATCAGTTTACATGTTGACATTTTAGAGTTTATTAAACCATAAATTATCATTTCTATACCAAGGGGGAAATGGGGAAAATGGGTTATTTAACTGGGAAGGAAAGTGGGAGGGTTATACAAGAAACTGTGGGGGTAAAGGAGGTGCTCAAAAAAGGGGTGTTAATAGGAGACAGGTATTATCAAGGGTGAAATGGGGAAAATGGGGGTACTACTTTAACTGGGGAGAGAGGAGAGAGGGTTATATGGGTTATATAGGGGGAGAGAAAGGATAACACTTAAGTGGTATAAAAAACTAAGGGAAATCAATTTGTTCAAAAGCCGACTGAACACACGCGCGCGCGCGCACACACACGCACACACACACACACACACACACACACACACACACATCACTAAAGGCTATATAACAAGAAACACAGTGCCAGACAGGAGGAACCTCCCTTTGAGTTGTTGGTCACAGTAATCCAAGAAACTCCTAAAACGACACTGGCTACTGCCATAGCCCTTGACTGCCTCCTAGAACTTGAAGGCAAGACCCTATTAGTGAAGACAGGGCATTCTTCAGACACAGGACTTGGAGCAGTCGAGCTGCATCTGATCTGGAAGCCTCCTCCCTGAATACTAGCTCTCATAGTTTCAGAGAATACTACACAAACTAGTGAGGGAGAATATCAATCAATTGTCCAAACCAGTCTAATAATCGTAACAATGACCGGCATTGCAAACTGTATCTATTGGTGCAGTTGTTGCAATTTTTTTTTTTTTTTTTTTTTTTTTTTTTTTTTGGTCTTTTTGAGAAGGGTTCTCCCTGTAGCCCCAGCTGTCCTGGATTCACTATGGAAACCAGGCTGGCCTCAAACTCAGAGATCCACCTGCCTCCACCACGCCACCACACCCGGCAAGTGGTGGCGGGGATAATCAGCAGCTTTCTAATTGAACTTAAAGCCTGTTCAATGGGAGGGAACTCCTGTGTACGTAGCCAAATACACAGGACACAGGGCTGGAGAGGTCATAGATCCTAGAGAAAAACCTACATCTGTCACATCCCTAGACAAACTAAATGTGTTATCTTTATATTTACAGACAAGTATGCCTCTCACCACTCATTAAAGAAGCTTCTTTTTGCAAAAGAAGGAGGCTATTAGAGTCCCACATCTGGTCAAACACAGAGAATAAGTATCTGTGAGATGCCTAGCCCTAAGTGACACATCTACAATGCAACCTCTACATGTAAAGTTTAGGGAACATAGTGGAACAGGGGCAAAGAGCACATTAATGAATCTCTTACCTCTCACCAGCAAGAGTTCTCATGCAACAAATGGTGATTAGCATAGAAAGCCACAACTTACCAAAATATAGAGAACAAGAGACTTCAGACTGTGTTCCTGGATAGGATTCCTATTTTAAACTTCTGCTACCCAGGGCTTAAAGACCATTGGGGAGAGGAGTCAGAAAGACTGTAAGAGACAGGGGTAGTGGATGACCACAAGGAAACAGTTTTCCAGGTGCTGGGAACTTGCTCATATGAACTTACAGCATGTACCAGACCCATGCAAACTCAAACCAAACAAAATCCCACCATAGATGTGTGGACATGGGTAAGAAGCCTCAACCCTAGCTGAGAAACTATTGGCAGCTGATCACTACTGGGTGAAGGAGAGTTGGTCTTCTTTAAGGAAGTGGTAGGTTGACCAGGCTCCAGTGGATGAATTCACACCAAGGGACATCTGGGAACACAAACTTGACTTGACAGACCTTAACATATATTACAAAATGCATGGAATCCTTAATGATTGCTAGCATGATGGCTCAGCAGGTAACAGTACTTGCCACCAAGTCTGACAACCTGGGACCTGAGTTCCATCGCTGGGACCCACATTGTGGAAGGAGAGAACTACCCCAGAGAGTTGTCCTCTGACCTCCACATGCATGCCATAGCACATGCATGTCCACACATATTATATACAAACATATACAAACACACATGTGTGCGCACACACACATACACACACACACAAATACATGAAAATAATTTTAAAGAAATTAAAATGAAAAAGGTCTTTTTCTTAACCATTTCTTCTTGGCAGCAACCTTAGTAGAAGATTTCATTTAGTTTTGAAAGTAACAGCAAAAAATTAGCACTCATGATATATATTAAATACTTTATGTGTATTCCGTTATTTAATCCTTTTTATAACCCTGTAATATAAACTGTCACCATCATCCTCATTTTGTCCACTGACCACAGACTACTGAAAACAACTTGCCGTAGTGAACTGGAGGAACCAGGAGGCTAACCAAGGCAGTCTGGCACCAGAGCACTGGCTCTTAACCTATTCCCACCTTCATAATAAATTAACTGTGAATTGAGATAAGTAATCTTCCCAAGATCATGCTACCACATGAGCTGGATTTCAACTCAGTTTGTAACTATTTCCAGAGCTCCTGACTACGACTACATATAATCCAACCCACTCATGCCACTTTTTATTACATGATTCCCTGATGCTCGCCTTGCAACCACCACCAAACAACAAATTCTGACAAATCCAAACAATGAAATTAAAGGCATACTGGGATCAACTAAAACTGGGTTGTTCAACTCTAATAGACAAAGTAATGCTAATTCACATCATCCTGATGATTAAGGATGCTGAATATTTTTTTAAAATATTTACTGATGATTTATGTTTCTTTGGGGAGGAATTGTATGTTCAGTTGATTACCTATTTATTTATTGACTGTTCATTTCCTTTTACAGGTGCTTTAATTTTTGCATTTCTTTATATACCCTAGATATTAATGCCCAGCCTAAAGAATAGGTGGTAAAGACTTGACCCTGCTGTGTAAGCCATCTTCCATTCTGCTTGCTACGCAGAAACTTGTTAATTTCATCTAATCCAATTTGTTGGTAGTTGGGATTCTTTCCTGTGCTGCTAAAAGCCTATTCAGACAGTTCCTGCCTATGCCTCCATCCTGAAATGTCCCCTATTTCGCTCTTGCAGTTTCAGTATTTCAGGTTTTTAAATTGAGGTCTTTGATCAAGTTTGAACCTGATTTTTGTGCAGGATGAAAGACATAGATATACATTCATTCTTCTGCAAGTGGATATCCAGTTTTTCCACCATCATTTGCTGACTAGGAATTTTTCCAGTGTGTATTTTTGACACCTTTGTCAAAAACTAGGGGCCACAGTTCTGTGAGTTTGTTTCTGGGTCCTCTGTTCTGCTCCATTGGTCTACATGATTTTGTTCCAGTATCATGCTTTCTTTCGTCACTATGGCTTGATAGTATAATTTGAAATCAAGTATTATGATACCTCCAGTATTGTTCTTTCTGCTTAGGATTGCTTTGTCTATCTGTGGTCTTTTTGTGTTTCCATACACATTTTAAAGTGTTCTTTTTTTTAAATTTCCCTAGTTCTGTGAAAAATATCTTAGGAAATGTTTTGATAGAGGCTGTGTTGAACTTGCAGACTACTTTTGACACTCTAGACATTTTACAGTGGTCCTGCCAATCTAGAAGCATGGAAGGTACTTCTAGCATTGTGTCTTCTTCAATTTCTTTTTCCAATGTCTTAAAGTTTTTACTGTAGAAGTTTTTTACCTCCCTGGTTCGTGTATTCCTAGGTATTTATCTAAGTTATTGTAAATGAGATACTTTTCATTTCTTCCTGAGAAAGTTCACTTGAGATTCCATCCACTTCAAATGAGTATCACCAGGAAAAACCAATAGTAACATGCTGGCAACATGAGGATGTGGGGAAAGAGGACAAATTATTCATTGCTAGTGGGAATAAAAACTGATACAACCACTTCATAAATCAGTACGGAGGTTTCTCCAAAAGCTACAAACAGACATACCTTATGACCCAGCTAGGCATCTCTCCGAAGGATTCTATATGCTACCACAGAGATATGTGCACATGTACACTTACTGCTGCTCTATCTGTAATAGCAAGGAGATGGAATCTGCCTAAATGTCCAACAACAAATGAATGAATAATGAAAATGCAGTATATATACGTGAAGAATTTTTTAGCTATACAGAAAATGAAATTAGGAAATTTTTAAGAAAATGGATCGAGAAATTTATCCAGACTCGGAAAGATAATATTGCATGTTCTTTCTCATTTGCAGATCCTAGTTTGATTTTTTTTGTTTGTTTGTTTTGTTTTTGTGTGTTTGTTTCGAGATAGGATCTCCTTATAGCTCCTATTGGCCTGAACTCCCTATTGTAGACCAGGCTTGCCTAGATCGCACATAGATCCACTTGCCTCTGCCTCCTGAGTGCTGAGATTAAAAATGTGCACCACACTCCTGGCTCTCATTTTTAATTTTTATCTCTGTGTGTATGTGTAGATGTGAGTGTGGATACTGGTCATAAAACTCGAAAGTGGCGGGGAAAACGGTTTTAAGGGAAGGAGAGGAAGCAACAGAACACACACGGCATGAAAACAGAGAGGGGTCGATTGTGAACAGGTAAAGTGACTGAAAGACACCCAAGAAGATGGGGGAACAGGAGCAACAAACACAAACCATGACAATATCGTAATGAAACCTATTACTTTGTAGGTTAAAATTCAATTGAAGAGAATATCCAGTACAAGAAAAATAATTTACAAAGAAGATGCCACTTCAGTATGATCATTCACATAACCCAAAGCTAGCAAGTCATGTGTGGCTCTGAACCTCAAAACATTCACCATTGCTCTGATATCTTTACAAGTATATAAAGAATATGCTATTAAAAGAAAACACCAGACCTCCCTCTGCTTCCCTGGGCCTGCAACACCCTCCACCCTCATTCTGGGACACAGGGGCTGACCTTTCCTCTTCCCGATCCTTTGCAACCAGACCAACCCAGTTTCTCAGTGCAGTCCCCAGGAGTCCTTGAGGCCTCTTCCCCTCCCATCTGCCTTTGCATCTCTGGGTAGCAGGGCCACCAGCTGCCCTAGACCAGCATCTTTCCTGCGCCAG